CCCCAAAACCCCAAAACCCCAAAACCCCAAAACCCCGATTACCGGGAAGTAGATTGAAGTATTTTAATGATTTAAATGTGTTCCTTTTTCATCATCTGTTTGAGCTCTTCCTCGTTTCCGTTGTCCATACCATGCTCTAAATTAATGAATGTCACAAATCCTTTTTGTAAATATAAAGTAAAATGAGATTAGAAGCTTTGCGTACCATAGTTTAGAATCTCTGAGAAGTCCTCGATAGCCTATAGATATAAAAAAACGATTACTTCTTGGTATTGGCCAATTCTCTCAAATGAGATTCCTCTGTTATGTAATGCGTGGACATTAGTCGGATCAATGGTGATAACCTGTGTGTAGTCTTCAATAGCTTGTTCGAACTGTCCTATTTTTGCAAAGCAATAAGCACGGTTGTTATAAGCTTTTATATTATTCTCTGGACCATAGTTGAGCTCAAGTGTATAATCTTCAATCGCTTCAATGAAATTCTCTTGCTTACGTTTGACTAAACCTCTGTTGGAGTATATAATTGGATTCTGAGGGTCAAGCTCCACTGCTTTATTGAAATCTTGGATAGCATCTTCAAGTAAGCCCATGTTTCTGTAGCAACAAGCTCTGTTATGCCAATAGACTGCATTTCCTTCATCAAGTTCTATAGATGCTGTGAAGTCTTTGATCGCTTCTTCAAAATTGAAGAGTCTATCCCAGACAAGGCCTCTTCCGTTAAAGCTTGGAGAATACTCAGGGTTCAGGTCTATAACCTTATTGAAGTCTTCTAGGGCCAAGCTGAGTTTGTCTCCTCCTATCTTCTCTCTGACTGTGCCAAGGTGGTGGAGAGCAGATATATTATTACTCTGAAGCTCAACTGCTTTCATGTAATCATCTTCAGCATTCTTGAGCTCTCCAAGCTTATCCCAACAGAATGCTCTGTTGTAATAAGCTTTAAAATGAGAACTGTTGATTTCAATAGCGCTGGTGTAATCTTCGATAGCCTTTTGGTAGTTTTTCTTCTTTCTATAAGCAAAGCCACGATTGTGGTAAAAATCTGCCTTTTTGGGTTCAAGCTCAATCGCTTTTGAAAAGAACATAATAGCTTCATCATAATCTCCTTTCCGATCAAGGGAGATTCCTTTGTTGTAGTAAGTGAATGCATTCTGGGGGTCAATCTCTATGGCTTTTGTGTAATCTTCAATAGCTTTGTCATACTCTCCGATTTTATCATAAGCAAAACCTCTGTTAAACAGAGCTTTGAAATGAGTTGGTAGCACTTGTAAGGCTTGTGTATAAAACATAATGGCTGATTGGTAATCCCCTTTCTTCCTCGCAGAGTAACCTTCAGAGTGAAGCATCTCAGCTTCTCTTTTTAATGCTTTCATCTGACTTGGGTGAGCTGGGGAAGTATTTTGTGAATATATAGAGCCTTGGATACTCTTGGTTTCCTCGTGAGGAGTATTCTGTAGGAAAGTGGCACTTGACGAAACTGAGCTTGCGCTTGAAAGTCTATGCATAGGATTCATCCTATCCATTTGAGAAGGAGCACTACTCTTTGAATCTTCTCTTTGAATACCTCTGGTCTCACTATGAGCTTGCATACCAGGAGAAAGGAATACATTTTTATGATCAGCTCTCCTTGCATGGTTTACTGTGCTCTCTGAATATATCGATTGTGTTTTACTAAATAGTCGTTAAATATGAATACATTAGATTGAACTTGATCTTGAGTGGAATAATTTCTGTCAGATTGGGAATTTATAGTTGAAGTAAATCCCTCAATGCCCATTTTATTCTGAAGGCTAGCTCTTTGTTTTGGACTGGTTGGCCTTTCTTGGTCCTTTTCAAGGGCCATATGATAGTCTTCAATCGCTTTATCAAAATTCCCTCTTTTATTCTCTCAAGCTCCTCTTGCATAAGCTGCATTGATGTGATTTGGGTCTATTTCCAAAACTGTGGTGTAATCTTCAATTGCTTCTTCAAGCTAAATTATCAGAAGGAAGAGCCTACATCATTGTTTTTCTGGTAGCAACACCCACGGATATAAAATGCTCCTGCATTCTCTGGGTCAAGCTCGATAAGAGTGTTTCAGTCATTAATGGCATCTTCCACTTGGTTCTTTTTCAGAAGAGAGGAAGCTCTGATGAACAATGCTTTATTTATGAGTATAGTCTTCTTTTAGCTTTTTAGAGCAGACGCTTATCAGATTGTCAACATCAAGTGTCTAAATTATGTATCAGAGCCTATCTCAACATTGAGAACTGCAATATTTTAGATTTGATTTAAAGGAAAATGGGCTTATTCAGTTTTGAGAATATTATTGTTCTTTTAAAACTGGACTATTAGTTATGTCCTTTCTTCAAGTTTCAGAAATCTTAACGAAAACAGAAAAATAGAAAAATTATGAAATAATCCGAAGCTTATTTTCCATCAAAACTGTGCTGGAGGATATAAATATCTTAAATAGTCAGCTGCATCAGAGCTGGGTTTGAGGAAAGAGAAAGAGTGTTCATTTTAACTAAAATTTTAAATCGCTATCTCTCTAGTTTTGTTAGGGTTATTTATAACTGAAAATACCTGTCTGTAGATATTTGGAGGCTTTGATAGAATGGATTCTGTCTGATTGAATAGCAAATCTGATTTATAATCATCTAGGCTCTTGAAAAAGTCTGAGTCTACCGAAGCAAACGAACCCGCCTTAACAAGATCTTCTCTGTTGAACACTTTTGAATTATTTTTGTTATCAGGCTGTGACCTATTATTGGCCTCGAAAGAGTATGTTAATCGTAGCTTACATTTCATTGTAGTTTGGATTATTTTTAAAGGCTGTATTGTCTACTAGTGCTCCTTTGGTAGGCTCAACTCTATGAGAAATAAACTAAGTATACCTTGAACTCTGGCTGTATTTCTCCATGCGTTGGTTTTCTTTATTTAGATACTCAAATCTACTACTTTTAGTTTTGTTGGAATTGCTGTTGAACTGATGGTCAAAGGCCTATTCTAGTTAGTTAAAATGCCGTGGAGTAGTACAACCAACAAGTATTCAGGTATGTAAAATATTTAAAAGCCTTTCTAATTTTAAAAGTTTCTAAGCAAAGTAAATTCATCTCGAGTAATCACATATTGATGATTAAAAGTCAAATTTCTTTGTCATGAAATCTAAGGATTATGTAAACAAGCTTTAATAGGGTTGATATGGTTCTGATAGTCTAATTTTTAATTTACTAATATTAATAAAGTTCACTATTTAAGCTCAGATATTTATGTCATTTCTAAATGAGAAGCTATGAACAGTTTTAACTATATTTTCCTCTCAAATTGTTACAAAATCATGTTTGTATTTAGCTTAATGACTCTAATAATAATGAGTCTTGCAGGTTTGCTAAAAATAAGCACAGTTTTTGGAGAAGTCACATCAGCTGTATGAACTAAGAAAATATCCAATTGAAAATGATTGAAGTCAGACTTCATCGTACTAATGATAAGATTGGTCTGAAGCTTTATCTGACGAACAGCATTCTTTAACTTAATCATCTTTATCACAGCACCAAACAGATGTATTTAATTTATAGCGGTTAGGTAAATTCATATTTTACCGATTTAAATTTTTAACTGCTTCTAGAAAAGCTTTTGCTATCAGACAGATTGTTCTTCCTAACAGAGGCTTTAGCTTTGGATAAATTATATTTTAAAGCAGACCAAAAGATTCTATTTTGCAATTTTAGGCCCTTTCTCGCCAAGTCTAATGGCAAGCTAATTTATATTGCTGCATGTTTATATTTGCTTAAAAGATTATGTTTTGAAAACAAAGTTGCCGCTCACTTAAAAAGAAGGCTGAATATCTTACATAGTAACAAATAAGCATCTTAGGAAAATATTTCTAAAGGAGTAGCTCCTTTGGCATCTATGTATGCGAATTAAAGTTCAAATCCTAATTACTGGTCATAAGAATTGTGAATTCATACATAGGCTGACTCGAAATGATTTCTAGAGAACTAAACTAGCCTATAAAGCCATGTAAGGATCTTCCTCAAGGCAATTTATTGCATGAATGTGACACCCCTAATAGAAATGAGTTTATTGCCAGCTATTTTTCATTCTGTAAATTATGAAGGCTATAAATTGATAAAGTAGGACCTTAATTTAGAAGTTTAAACTCAGAATTGGTTTGAAGGTATTTTCTAAGATAATGTACAGTATTTTGAAGCAACAAGTTATTCAAATATATTTAATACAATATTTTAATATTTCGGCTTTCATAAGGCATCCGCTTATTGCCCTAATTTTGATTTTCTTAGAGTTTGAATTATAGCATCCACCATACCAGGTGGAAGAAAAGATATTTTGAGTTACTACTACACTCACAGTAAATTAAAAATCTAATCATCAAGAAAAATAGTATTTTTGGGAAATATTTCGAGACTTGATAGCTCTATATCTGGTTTGAATAGAAATGTTTTTCTTTACCTCCATTGATCGATTTAATTAATATTATTTAAATTATTATCGTATTGGGGTTTTGGGGTTTTGGGGTTTTGGGGTTTTGGGGTTTTGGGGTTTTGGGG